ATTCTTTAGCTCCGAGTAGAGGGGGTGCGGTCTGCTGCTAGGGGGGCCCACGGAAGCGCGAGGGAAAAATTCCGCCGCTGAGGGAAACCCGGAGCGCTGCCGTACGCCCTCGGAGACCTGTGTTATGGCCCTGCGACCGCGCACCCCCCCACGGTCGAGGAAGAGGGTGCGTTCTGCAGTTAAGGGGTAACCCGGTACACGGAACTATCCCTCGGAGACGTGTTATGGCCCTGGGACCACGCACCCCCCCCCTTACTTAGCTCTTAGGGGTCAGGGCTCTCTAGCCGGCGTAGCCCATGACCGAACTCGAAGTTCTCCAAGTGCTACAAGTGCTGGGCGACCCAAAACGATGTCGGGCCAGCTCGGCACGATCTATTCCAAAAAGCGCTGAGGGGTGGCCCGGTCTACGCTCTACCGTCGAGCTACCGGTAGACTTGGGTACCTCCTCGCCGTGCCGGGAGAGATCGCGCAACTCTGTGCTCGCCCGCGCGGGCGGGCGAGCGCTCGCCCGCCCGCGCGGGCGAGCGCTCGACACAGCATAGTTGCACGGGAGAGATCGCAGGAGAGATCGCGGGGGCTCTCTAGAGCCTGTCTCTCGCGGCGCCACGTAACAGGACGTTGAGATCCGAAAGTGACCTCTCCTGTGTTCCAAGCCCGCTGCTGACCTTCTCACTTCGACGCTCCGCGGCGGGGCCGCTTCGTGGCGGGCGCCTCCGGCTCTGCGGGCTCGCTGGGCTCGACCTTCATCGCCCGCGAGCCTCTCGTGCTCTTGCCCGCCGCGCCGCCTTGCCCGCCGCCGGCTTGCCCACCGCCGTCTTACCACCCGCCGCTTTCCCGCCCGCCGTCATGCTCGTCGCAGCCGAAACCGCATCTTCGACGTCGCCGCCGTCCTCGCCGCCGTCGCCACCAGCGCCGCCGCCCTCCTCAGCGCCGCCGTCCGCCGCCGCCTCCTCCGCCGCCGCCTCCTCCGCCTCCTCCGCCGGCGGCAGGGCGGGCATTTTGCACGCCGCCTCGAACCAAGGCCCGATGGGCGAAGGGGCGCGTATGACGCAGCGCCTCGCCTCGGCGTCGAGCCCTCCCCAGTCGGATCGCGTAACGCTGCCGAACACGTCGGATCAGGGTCGGACCAGAGTCGGAACAAGGTCGGGAAATAGGACCGTACCTGGGGCAGCTGGCGAAAATATGGATTTTTAGGGGCTATAGGGACAAAAATCGCGCCGCAGGCGCTATCAGGCAGGGACAAAGGGAGAAGTTCAGCTCTAGAGAGGCCGGTTCTAGCGAGGCTCCCGGCGTGGCGAAAATATGGATTTTTAGGGGCTATAGGGACAAAAATCGCGCCGCAGGCGCTATCAGGCAGGGACAAAGGGAGAAGTTCAGCTCTAGAGAGGCCGGTTCTAGCGAGGCTCCCGGCGTGGCGAAAATATGGATTTTTAGGGGCTATAGGGACAAAAATCGCGCCGCAGGCGCTATCAGGCAGGGACAAAGGGAGAAGTTCAGCTCTAGAGAGGCCGGTTCTAGCGAGGCTCCCGGCGTGGCGAAAATATGGATTTTTAGGGGCTATAGGGACAAAAATCGCGCCGCAGGCGCTATCAGGCAGGGACAAAGGGAGAAGTTCAGCTCTAGAGAGGCCGGTTCTAGCGAGGCTCCCGGCGTGGCGAAAATATGGATTTTTAGGGGCTATAGGGACAAAAATCGCGCCGCAGGCGCTATCAGGCAGGGACAAAGGGAGAAGTTCAGCTCTAGAGAGGCCGGTTCTAGCGAGGCTCCCGGCGTGGCGAAAATATGGATTTTTAGGGGCTATAGGGACAAAAATCGCGCCGCAGGCGCTATCAGGCAGGGGGAAGTCCGGCCGGAGCGCGGCCTGGACTTTTCCCTGCCTGATAGCGCCTGCGGCTAGTTGTGCCACATGATTACAATAAGGGCAGAAACAACTCTGACACGACGAGACAGCTTAACAGGCAGGAGATCATGGCAGTGGCTCGACCCAAGGCTTCCATCGCCGCTTACCCTCCACTTGCGCAAACACCGCCCATGGCTGCCTTTCCGTGTATGGGCCGCGAGGCAGGGCAGATGGCAAGAGGCACACCCTCTGGCCCAACTCAGGCGGTTGCTCGGGCACACATCTCCTCAGGCAGGAGGGGACGTGGCTGGGCCGCCCCTGGGCTGAGGATGCCCTCCCGCCACCGGGCGCGCCGGGGCTTACATCATCCCAATCTGGGCTGCAGATGCACGTCCACCAGTTAGTGCGAGACGATTTCTTCACCTTCTTCTCCTGACTAGCAGGAGGGACAGAAGCAGGCCGCTTGTTGCCGGAGAGGCTGCTGCTGCCGCCGCCGACGTCAAAGTTGCCAATGCCGCCGCAGTCGCTGCTGCCCGCGAAGCCGCTGCCTGCAATGCGCTGGCCACCGCCGCCGAAGCCGCCGAAGCCGAAGCCGCCGCCACCGAAGCCGCCGCCGCTGCCACCGAAGCCGCCGCCGCCGAAGCCGCCGCCACCGAAGCCGCCGCCGCCGAAGCCGCCGTCACCGAAGCCGGCGCCACCGAAGCCGCCGCCACCGAAGCCGCCGCCGCCGAAGCCGCCGCCGCCGAAGCCGCCGCCGCCAAAGCCGCCGCCGCCAAAGCTGTCGAAGCCGCTGCCAAAAGGTGAGCCACCCATCATGCCTACGCTCGGGTGAGCCACCCATCATGCCTACACTGAGGGGCTCACTGTGGCTGCCGCTAGCACCGGGGAGAGGCAAAGCGAGAGGCGCGGGGAGAGGCGGTGCGGCGGCGAGATGCGGCGCGATGGCGCGGGGCGGCGCAGCACCGAGAGGTGCGGCGGCGAGAGGCGCGGCGGC